CTGGGAAGTAAAGGGCAAAGTAGTTGAGAAGGGGTGGGTTTAGACTGAGTGGATGGTGAGAGAAAATCAAGGTGGCTTGCTCTCGGGTAGGATGGCAACATCTCCATTGTATACACCCTCATTATAAGCTCAGCACACTTGTTGCTTGTGGCCTGGATACCTGGGCGAGAGGACATATCAGGATGGGCTCTTAAGGGTCGAACACATTGTAGAAAACAGACGGTTGAAGTGAGGAAAGACACGGAATAGAAATGGAGAACTGAACAGAAATTTCAGGCAGAACAAGAGTCACCAGAGATCCTGAGTTTGAGGTCACGAGGAATCTTGCATGAGAGGCCAGAGTGACGTCATTAGGACAAGCAATCTGAGGAGTGCCTAGCTATCAGACAAGCAAAATTGACCTTTTCAGGTGTGCTCTTATAAACCACACATCATGGATCATTGTTGGAGCAAATTATTAGCACATATCCTTCACTTTTCAAGACGGAACATTAAAAACAGAATTATAGAGTAGAAGTCAACAGAGCTCTGAAGAGTTCTGATACATGCTGTCCAAACGCTGGCAAGAAATCATTAGTAATAATTTGCTGTTTTATTATATAGTCAGCAGAGATAACAGATACCTTTTCCATTAGTTCACCAGCATGCTTTATGTTCTTCCCATTTCTATAGGAAATAAGGCTCACTAAGGTTCACAGGGTAGTAGAGAAGAATCAAAGCCCATGTTTCTCTGACTGTGAATCCCGTATTCTTTTAACTAGTGATGCCACTCCCTTTATCAGAACTAGGGAACGTAACTATTAAGAGATGTAGGCAACTTCGTTGCTCAGATATTAAAGCCAAAACTCAGTGGCTCAAAAAATTCTTGTTAATCTGGTCTCTGCTTATATCTCCATCTTTCCTTATCTGGAGTGGATAGTTCCTTTCAGCATATATTCTTAATTTTTTCATTTGAAAATAATAAAAAGTTGTCTGCTCTCTGTTACCCCATGGTCTTTGGGCTATCTATGCCTTTTTTTCTCTGCCATCTTTGTCTGGTGACTTCTCTTCCTTCAGACTGAATTTAAATGTCACTCCCTTGTGACTCTTAAGTTCTGTTTTAGTTTGTTTCTGAAATGCTCTCTCTAAAAGCTCATCGTTGCTTCAAGTCTTCATCCAAATGCACTGGTACCCCGTGGAAAAGATTAGACCAAGAGGATTCCGACCTTATCCACGGGGTGATCAAGTGATGCTCACAGCATAATTTGTCATTGGGAGGAGTGGAAACTTTTGAAGGTGGGGCCTCATTGGAGATATTGGGTCACAGCGAAAAGCCAATGAGAAGTGTATTTTGTTTCCTGCTTTCCACTGCCGCCTTGCTGTGCCATGGTGTGCCCACCTTGCGGCTCTGCCTTCCCACAGGCATGGGCTGAGACCTCTGAAAGTGTCAATTGGGTTTCTCAAGGGTTTAGTCACAGTGACACACAGCTGACCGACACAGCTCTGTGCGCCTCTGCTGTAGCTTCCACGTCACCAAGCAGGACGTACGAACTGTGTTGCCAGATGTGTCTCCTCATCTGTTTGCCCCAGTCATCCGTGAGGAACACAGGACATCACTCCTAATTAACTTGTAAACCCAGGACCAGCTCTTGCTGAGTAATCTGTCTGCTTTCGAATAGACAGGCATACTCCAGACTACTGGGATCTTAGCTATGTTTGCAGGTTTTATCAACAGCCTGTTTCACTAATGCATGGTTTCCTACTTAACATCTGCAGCCACTGGGGTGCAAATTCTGTAGTTAAAAAAAAAATTTGATTTATGCCAGGAGGAGAGTTTCCCAGAAGCAAATTGCCTGATAATAACCTTGACCTTGACTTTACCTTGCAACACAGTCTTCTTCTTCACATACTTCTTAGTAACCTCAGTCTTGCCCACATGACTGGGAGGTGCCAGAGGGCAAAAATTAGCTCTGTTCCCCATCAGATCACCTCATGCTAGGTGGTCTCTGAGTGTATGAGGAGCCAAGATGAACTAAGCAACCATCTTAGCAACTGACAACGTTCCAAGACTCAACAACTTGCTTCCTGCCCAGCCAAAGGCTTGCCGCTCAGAGGCAAATGTCACCGTGGTAGAGTTGTCTTAATGAGAAAGCATGCTTGCTTCTCTTCTGGGGGAGTTTCCTAGAGCGATGCTCTTAGAAACTCCTTGGCAGGAATCCTGAGCAAGGCTTGGCATTGACAGCGTCCTCCTGCTGGCATTAACAAGCCTCTTATTTAAATGTAAATGAGCTCTCCGTGCCAGTTTGTGAGTGAAACACATCGCTTGTGTTAAACCAGAGCTGGGATTGCTACCGCACACCAAATGTCGGCTTGGTTTCTACTTCCCTACCACACTCAGCGGAGCTCTTTGCCTTGGCTTCTCCATCTGCAGAGCAGGGAGTCCTCAGACAACAGAGGGGATCTGTAGAGTCCTGTGGTCCCCTTGTAGCCACAAATGCGCCTTGGTAAGCTCCAAGGCGAGGTGGTTAGATGTGCCCCCAAATGGGGGCAATTTGACAACAGCACCAGATCAAGTCCAGGCAATAGAGAGGCTTGCAGCATCCATGAAGTCCAGCCGAGGGTTGCAACTGTGGCCTCAGGCTTGCTGCTGGGGCCAAACTGTTACCCGGGTCCTAGCTGGGTCGTACAGACTCTGATCCTCATGTACACTTCTTTTTGCCTGGATTGCTTCTCTATATTAAAAAATACACGTGTGCCAATATTGCTTAATATTTGGTCCTACTTAGCCATCTGCTGCTGTATTCCTAGTCTCCCAAGTCCCTACCGTCCACATCTGTACTCTTTTTTTGGTCTTTCTCTTCATTTCTGGGTCTTTCTGGAGATGAGTAGTGCTTCTCCAACATGAGGAGCTTTTTAATTCCACTACTAGCTATCTCAATATCCAATATATGTACAGCTCATGATATGCTATATTCCTTGTTTCTTTGTATCCTACACAGCTAGGCAGTGGGTGTATCTTGAGGCCAAGCCTAGGTCTATGCTGGTGGCCTTAGATCTTAGTCAAAATCTGAATGAAGGAAGAGATAAAAGAGCGAAGGAAAGAGTACAGAAACCCCATTCACTCAGCACAGTCTTACTATAGGAGTCCAAATGGGGCTCGTTCCGTTTCACCATCCTTCAGTCTGGCACATGATTTATAGCTGAGTGTATTAGTCAGAGTTCTCCAGAAAAGCAAAACCAATAGGAGATAGATATATATATGGGAATCGGCTCACACAATTATGAAGGCTGAAAAGTCCTACCATCTGCTGTCTGTGAGCTGGGAAATCAGGAAAGGCAGTAGCACCATTTAGCCTAACTCCAAAGGCCCAAGCCTCAGAAGCTCTACTATCCAAGGGCAGAAGATGCAGCTCAAATAGAAAGACGTGCAACTGGCCTTTCTTTTGCGTTTTTGTTTTGTTTTGTTCTACTCAGGACCACAGCAAACCAAATGACCTCAAGCATGCTGGGGAGGATAGTTCTGTCTACTGTGGAACACTATGCTTATTCAAAAGTCCACTCTCCTTTTCTACCACAGAACACTAAAAACATTGACATTTTAGAAAGAACAGAAATTTCTTTCTCATAGTTATAATGTGTGGGATGTCTAAGATCAAGGTGTTGGCTTCTGCCAAAGGATGCTGTGTGTCTTCAAGGGTGCCTCATCTCCCAAACCACAGAAGGCAGGACAAGAATGGCTCAACTCCTTTAGTGATGTCCTTTAATGGCTGTTCTGAATCCCATTAGTGAGAGCTGAGCCCTCATGACTTCAGCGCTGCTTAAGAATGCTATTTGGTAATATTATACCAACTATACTTTTAAAGGAACACATCTTAATCATTAATATGATCAACTTGACAGTTTCTAGAGTTCCCTATAAAACAAACACCTCTTGACATATCTGTGAAGTGGCTTCTAGATTGGGTTAATTGTGGTGAGAAAGCCCACCCTAAATGTGGGCATTAGACTAAATAAAAAGGAGAAAGCCAGAAACTATCCCTATTGCTTTGGCTGGCTCTTGGGAACCTACTCCTCATACTGGGTTGCCTTGCCCAGCCTTAATACAAGGGGAGGAGCTTAGACCTACCTCAACTTGATATGTCTTGATTTGCCGATACCCATGAGAGGCCTGGCTCTTTCTGAACAGAAACAGAGTTGGAGTAGATGGGGGGCAAGGGTGTAGAGAGAAGGTGGGAGAGAGAATGGGGGGAGAGGTGGGAGGGGAAAAATAAAAAAAATAAATAAGTAGGGAGAAAGCCAGCTGTACATTGGCATTTATTTCTCTCTGCTTCCTGACTGTCGATGCAATATGACTAGCCCCTTCAGGCGCCTGCCGCCACATTCCCTGTCATGATGGACCCTCAAATTCTAAGCCAAAACAAACCATTTCTTCTCTAAGTTGTCTTTGTCAGGTATTTTTATCATGGAAAAGATAAAAATATCTAATCTAATATCCAAACCACAACATATGGTCACAAGCGTGCCCTAAAATACTGTTTGGCCAGCTGTGGCGCCCAGACGTGTGGCCAACTGAATCCACAAAAAGCCTGAGAAAGCTTGGGAAAGAATGGAGTGAAGCATGTTTTCTTGGTAGCAGAAATTTCTTGGGTCTACTCTGCTTGCTAGAGGCAAGCAAGCGCTCTCATCTAAGAGAGGCTTCCTGACTTAGCTTCAGCTGCAAAACCCTGCAGCTCATTAAGAGGTCCTGCCACGAAACACTTAAATGGTGTTGACGAAAAGCTGAACACATGCTTTTCGGTTTTCAGCCATAGCAGGAAAAAAGCTGTGCCGGCTTTCTGGGCCGTCCTGCCAGGGCAAACTCTGACTGAGGCAGGAGGGCCAACTATTGAGAGAGGACTTGACTGTTGTCTGTTGTAGCTTGCTGGCTGGCAGGGACTTTGAAATGCCATAGAGTTGTGGCTATAAACATGGCTACAGCCTGTATATCCTCCTTGAGGCTGGAAAGCTAAGAATGGACTGGATCTAGATGGCAAAGCCACGGCTTTAATCCTACTCATTGCTCAGTAATTTAAAGGCTCGTGTGGTCAGAAAAAGAGAGATATACAGTAAAGAGATTCAAAGACAAAGAAAATTTTAAATGATTTACAGTGTGTTAGAAATATATGCAAGCTAAAAGTTAAAAGTTCTTAAAAAAAAGTAAGAAAAAGAGAAGTTGTGTGTGGTAGTACACACCTTTAATCCCAGTGCCTAGGAGGCAGAGACAAACAGATCTCTGTGAGTTCAAGGTGTGGTGGCAAACACCTTTAATCCCAATGCCTGGGAGGCAGAGACAGGCAGATCTCTGAGAGTTCAAGGAGAGCCTGGTCTACAGAGTTATTCCAGGTCAAAGAGATACAGAGAATATAAAAGTAAAAATAAAAGAAATAGAGGTTAAAATAAAGCATACAAAGATGGAAAATACACAGAGAATCTTGATACTGTATACTATTATGCTCTCTTTGAATTGTTTGAATGCTGAGGAAGGAGCAACAGCTGCCAAAAGATATTTGTTTATAAATGCTGCTGAACTAATCCAACGTAGAGATTTTGATGCCTTGACTTTGAAATTTGGATCTAAGGACATGATACTTTGGAAAGGAGTTTCTTTTTTTGTTTTCACAGAGGATGAGACCCTGTTCATTTCTTCTATTCCGATATGGTATGATGGACCACGCCCTCCTGAACGGTTGCTGTGAATACCTTCAGAAAATTGCTTCGCTCAACTGCCAACTGAGATGAAACTAGCACACAGGTTATACCATGAAAGACCTAATTAACGACGCCCCCATTCAGCAGGAAGCAGTTTGGAGAGAAAAAACTGCGCCCATGTTCCCAAATATGGTTTATAAATGTTCTTTTACATTTAAAGGGGGAGATGATATAGGTATGAATAATTTACATTGATATGGATTTTGCTTTAGTGATTTAAATTTAAGGTTAATTTTGTAATGTATATAGGTTGTTAATGAATAATCATTAATAATAGTTAAGTTTGTAGTCATGTTAGTTAAGATTTTCTAGATGTGCATAGATATATTTTAGATAGGCATTCTTCATATTTTTCAAAGATTATAGAATATGGCATTTTAAATGTTTTAATAACTTAGGACTTTTCATGACAATGAGACACTCTGCTCCTGGCAGCACCAATCTACTTCAAGAGGAAGATGGGCATCGAAGAGGATCCTTATGGAGTTTGATAGCCATTTGGGCAAGAAACTGCTCTTGCCTGGACTATTGCATAAACTGGACACAGAGAACCCGCAGAGAGAGGACTGCTGAACTTGCCTAAAGGTGAGATGATCTTTCGGGGTTCCTGATTCATGAAAGAGTCTGCAAGACATTCTTCAGGACAAGCAGATAGTGACTGCCTTTGAAATTTCCTGCTTTGTGGAAATGTCTGCTGGAAACTATGGGCCTGTAGGCCGAAGATGGATGCCCCAACGGTACAGAGGAACTTTGGGTGACTGTCCAGGCAGCGAGATGTCTCTGTCATTTCTAGAGCTTTGGATGTTAAGTTAAAGCCTTCTTTTTTTTTTTTTTTTTGTTTAAACAGAAAAAGGGGAAGTGATGTGGGAGTGTCATATATCAATCTGTTGATTTCATTGGTTAAGTTATAATAAACCAACTGCTTGGCCTCAGCTTGGAACATAGATGGGAGGAGTAAACAGAATAGAATTCTGGGCGGAAGAGGAAGTGAGGTCAGACTCTGCGCTGCTTCCAGAGGGACCGGACAGCCGCCATGCTCTGCTCTCCCAGGCAGCTGCAACCCACGATGGACTTAGGCTAGAATCTTCCCGGTAAGCGCACCTTGGGGTGCTTACACACATCATTAGAAATGGGCTAGTCCAGGTACGAGAATTAGCCTGTAAGGGCTAGAGTTTATGGGCCAAGCAGTTCTTTAAATGAATACAATTTGTGTGTTGTTATTTCGGGCATGAGCTAGCCAAGCGGCCGGGGTGTTGGGGACGCAGCCCCGCCGCCCTTATTTCAACACAGCTGTCTGGACATCACTGATCCAAAGCACCTTGATACATAAAACGAATCATTATTCCAGGGTTCATTTTGACACACTTCACTGCACAGCACAGGGACAATTGGGTGACTCTATAGGAGGTGCTCCAAACATTAGAGATGTATCATAGAGACCCTGGTAAAAGTAAAATGAACACTTGGAAACAGGATGCAAATGATAGGAAAGAGCCCTTGGGACCCTTAGGATCCTGCAAAATGCTTTTGCCATATCTCAGAACACTGTAGTCTACTCTGCAATCAGAACATCTGCCCAGTGACTGACCAAAGGACACTTCTGCTAGTTGACCCTGGCTAGCAAGCTGTAGTCATCACTCCCTGGGCCCCGATCCCAGTCTCTATCAGGTAGGCAGTGTCCCATGGTAGATTCTGGTTTATGGCTTGCACCAGAGAAGAACATTCCAGATAGCAGTAGTGACTAGGTTCACTCTGGTTTGGTGTCCAGTGTGTTGGCTTTGAATAGGTCTTTGAGGGGCTCAGCTTGGAACAGAGGATTAAGTCAGAGAGGACAGAGGGTAAAACCTGATGTGGGAGTATCATATATCAATCTGTTGATTTCATTGGTTAATTAAATAAAGAAACTGCTTGCCCTGATAGGTTAAAACATAGGTGGGAGGAGTAAACAGGAGGAAGAGGAAGTGAGGTAAGACTCCTCAGACAGAGACACGAGATAGCTCTGCTCTCAGAGACACATGCGATGAAGCTCTGACTCAGGATGGATGTAGGCTAGAATCTTCCCAGTAAGCGCACCTTGGGGTGCTTACACACATTATTAGAAATGAGCTAGTCCAGGTGTGAGAGTTAGCCTAGAAGAGGCTAGATATAATGGGCAAGCAGTGTTTAAAAGAATACAATTTGTGTGATGTTATTTTGGGCATGAGCTAGCAGGCGGCCGGGGTGCTGGGGACACAGCCCCGCCGCTCCTATTTCAACAGATGGCGCCCAGACGTGTGGCTAACTGAATCCACAAAAAGCCTGAGAAAGCTTGGGAAAGAATGGAGTGAAGCATGTTTTCTTGGTAGCAACAATTTTTCGGGTCTACTCTGCTTGCTAGAGGCAAGCAAGCGCTCTCATCTAAGAGAGGCTTCCTGACTCAGCTTTAGCTGCAAAACCCTGCAGCACATCAAGAGGTCCTGCCACAAAACACTTAAACGGTGCTGACAAAAAGCTGAATGCATGCTTTTTGGTTTTCAGCTGTAGCAGGAAAAAAATCTGTGCCGTTTAAAAATGCTGGCTTTCTGGGTTGTCCTGCCACGGGAAACTCTGACTCTTTTACGCAGGCGGTTCGTGCGGTTTGCAAGCACAGGCTGCTGAAGCTCACTTGTTGTCAGGGACCTTGAAATGCCATAGAGTTGTGGCAGTAAACATGGCTACAACAGTACCTCAGCCATGAGGCTGGAAAGCAAAGGAATGGACTGGATCTAGCTGGCAAAGCCACGGCTTTAATTCTATTCATATTTCTCAGTAATTTAAAGACTCATGTGTTCAGAAAAAGAGAGATATACAGTAAAGAGAGATTCAAAGACAAAGAAAATTTTAAATGATTTACAGTGTTAAAAATGTATGCAGACTAAAAGTTAAAATTCTTAAAGTAAAAAAAAAAGTAAGAAAAAGAGAAGTTGTGTGTGGTAGTACACACCTTTAATCCCAACATTTGGGAGGCAGAGGGAGATTGACCTCTGTGACTTCAAGGTGTGGTAGCACACGCCTTTAATCCCAATGCCTGGGAGGCAGAGACAGGCGGATCTCTGAGAGTTCAAGGAGAGCCTGGTCTACAGAGTTATTCCAGGTCAAAGAGATACAGAGAATATAAAATAAAAGTAAAAATAAACGAAATAGAGGCTAAAATAAAGCGTACAAAGATGGAAAATACACAGAGAATCTTGATACTGTATGCTATTATGCTCTCTTTGAATT